TAGTGAATGGAAACATTAGATAGCAACAGTTATGATTCAGATGCACACTAGAGATGTGCCCATTATCTGTCTATCCACACTCCCCCCCCCCCCTTGAATCACACTCCCACCTCTTACACACACTTTCTTTCCCCTCTCCAAACACAGAGAATCTCAGTCTCTCTTTCCCTCTCTCTCTCTGTTTCTCTCTCTCTCTCTCTCTCTCTCTCTCTCTCTCTCTCTCTCTCTCTGTCTCTGACACATAATTTATGCACCCTTCCCAGACACCCATAATCCCAACCTCTCCCCCCCCCTCTCTCTATCTATCTCACATAATTTCTGCACCCTTCCCAGACTCCCAACCTCTCTCTCTCTCTCTCTCTCTCTCTCTCTCTCTCTCTCTCTCTCTCTCTCGTATTCGTCTGCAAACGTTCTTATCAGTATTTTCTACACGTTAACAGACTCCTTGCCACACACATTGTGCTTTCCCCTTCCTCTCTCACTTTTTCATCTGTCAGCATCCCCCCCCCCCCTCCCCCACTATCTCACGCCCACCCGCTCCACTTTCCCACAGTCATCTCTTCTCCATTAATCAGCACCAGCTTTCGTCATCCCAGTCCTCCTCTTACAGCGCGTCTTCTTCTGCCGAACACATGACACAAGTCCTGCTTTTTGTCTGCTCTCTGAGTCCCATTTGGAGCCACACCAGAAAACAAAATAAACTTGTTTAAATTACCTGATAACGCGGCCTCAATTTTTTTTTGTTTCGCAGTATTAGTTCTTATTATAGATTTTACATTTCTGCGATAGTGGGAGACATCGTTTGTAAACAGTGGGAGACAGGACGGTCGTAGTTTTTATTTAACCTCGTTCGTTTCTTGTTATCGTCAGCGTTCAGGAATGTTTGTCTGTTGCCATATTCGCTGACTTCTGCGTCTTTGCGTTAGACTTTCCTAACCTAACCAACATTTGCCCGGGTTTGTCGGCGTGAGAAATGAAAATGCTTAAAACAGAGGTGACGTGACCAGAAACTGCCTGGTGTGTTTTTAATATGAACGTTGGCCAGGTCAGTGTTCTTCAAACAGTGAGGTGTGTTTTTAATATGAACGTGAGGTGTGTTTTTGAAATGAACGTTGGCTAGGCCAGTGTTCTTCAAACAGTGAGGTGTGTTTTTAATATCAACGTTGGCCAGGCCAGTGTTCTTCAAACAGTGAGGTGTGTTTTTAATATGAACGTTGGCAAGGTCAGTGTTCTTCAAACAGTGATGTGCCTTAAAAACATTTTGCCGTTATGTATCGAGTCAGGTCAGATAGTCTATCTCTTCGAGAATTGCAGTTTAGGGTTATCACATTAAGTATGAGAACCAAAATGTGTCTCTTTGGCTGAAAATTGTAGTGTAGTGACATAAGATAATCAGATGTCTACATTTGTTTTTGTTTCTTTGTATAGTAAGCTGCCAGGCGAGCCTCTAAACAAATCTCCCTGTTTTGGTGGGCTGCGGGGGCAAACAGCTTGAGAAACACTGGATTTGCTAACGGCGCAGGGTTGCCATATTGGCATTTTTTATGCCAGATTCCACAAATCTGGCATATTTGAAATTGAATTGGCATAAGATAATGAACTGGCATATTCTGGCATATTTGGGTTTTTCCTAGCATTTCTAATCAAGATGTGCTCACATTTTCTTCATGGTTCCTCTGTTAGAAACACGCAAATTCACTAACAGCAATGTAGACCTACAGTTATAATCTTTTTTTTCATTTTGACTTTGTTGTGATGTCCTGGTACGGACTAACGGTGATTCGCGCCATTTCTTATTGTATTTGTTGTTTTCATAACGGATCGTGACTGCTTTAAACCTCTGTAATTTAGGTTAATTTACTAGAACAAATGGGAAATAAAAAACGAAAACCCACCACTGATACCAAGTGACTCAGACTGTTCAGAAACTACTTGAGGACAGAAAATAGATAGGATATAGACCTAGTTCTATCTGTGGTAGATTTTTTATTACTTTTACCAATGGCCACGTCATCCAAAAAATGGAAAGCATCCTATGACAACAATCGCAAGTATAATAGTAATTGGGAGAAAACATACTCATGGCTCAAAAGATCTTCAGACGGATCAGAGGTAGCATATTGTAAACTATGTCAGTGCACTGTTGCACCAAGAATTAGTAGATTTCAAATCATGAAAAATTATTTGTACTTTGTGTTTGCGACATCAACTGTACAAGAATTTGAAAGACTGAACAGTCTTTTTCAACAAACAAAAGCTGATCCTCATGAACTACACCAAGAAATGTCCACGCACTCGAAAAGTCTTAAGAACAGACTGTATGACGTCAATGAGCAGAAAAAAAATATTCATCACGTTGACTTTGGTATTAAATTTCTAACGGAATGTAATGCGTTCCTACAGAAGAATAACAGGACTGAAGTTCAGATATAAATAAACAATGTTAAAGAAAGATGCATGTTTGTGCTAGAGGAAGCTCTCAATCAAATTACGCGTAGACTTCCCACGAAGAATATATTTCAAAATCTGTCCAAATTGAGCCCTTTGGCAGTTTTAAATCAAGCATCAAGAACACAGTTTTCAGAGCTACCATTTTTACACCTGGCAGAAAGCAACATCAGTATTATAGAAGAACAGTACAGAAAACTGAATGTTGTCAACTGGAAAGAAGAAGCTACATTTAAGAAGGATGGACTACCTACAAACAGTGAAGATTTTTGGATAGGCGTACTTCGACACCAGGCATTTAAAGAGTTGGCCACTTTGGCCTTACTTGCTTAATAGTGCCAGTTAGCAATGCTGTAGTTGAGAGAATATTCTCTCTTGTTACTTCAACTAAATCAAAAGCAAGAATTAGAGCAGAATTATTGATATCAAAGAAATGTTGCAAAGACTTCATTCCATCTGAGAAAATGCTTACAGATTTTACGTCCGAAAAGGTTTACGCTGCATCTTCCTCTGGTTCCAGTGAGGATGACAGTGAAGAATTCAATCTAGAGCTTTTGATGTGATACTTTATGTTACACTTTTTTTGGCAATTTTCTGGCATATTTTCGGTGATGATTTGGCATAAAATGAAGTTTTTTATCTGGCAACCCTGTAACGGCGTGTCTGTCTAGTTCTGTTTTGGGAAATGGACTTATACGGTTGTTGTCAGTGACTGTTGTAGGCTGAGGGGCGCTGGAACTTGGGAGCCTAGACCCATTGAATGCAAGGGGAAACCGTTGCATGTAAGGGTTCATAACTCACCCACGCCGCCTTAACTTCCCACAACATTGCACCGTACCCGTTTTAGACTGGGTCGACCTGGGAGCCTATGTCAGTTTTGAGAGAAATCAGTCTGCAAGCGGATTTGAACTTTAGACCTTAGGACCGGAAGGGGAGCTCCAAAAATGGTTTTTCTTTTCTCCTCAGCCAATACCTACTCGTAACCCAATGTAGATTAGAAAAAGGAACATCGTCCCGTAGGAGCCAGACACTCCATCGATAACAACAACGCGGTACAACTCAAAAACACCGGACAAAGGCGCGATAGGGATCATTCATGTGGTATAGAATAGTGTACTTAACTTTGTCAAGTAGAACCGGCAGTGCAACAAATGCCATCAACAATCGAGTTCATCACTGGCTATGCGACAACTGCAACGGCATGTTCGGATCGTTATCACAATGGCTGGGGAAAGTTATGCGTCGAAACGTTATCAGATTTGAACGGGAAGATCGCCCATCCGAGCCAATGGCACGTTGTTATGCGTTTGTTTTTTTGCCAAGTTGTCAGTTTGAGTTTTAATGATGTACTCGGGCCAGGAAGTGGCAATTTGTTTCTGGGCATTACGGGAGCGGGTAAGCCGATTACTCACATGAATCGGAAATGCTGTTTTGTGTGTCTGTCGCTGGCTGTCCTCGTTTTGACAGCTTCTTCTTCTTCTTGTTTTTCTTCTTCTTCTTGTTCTTCTTCTTGTTCTTGTTCTTGTTCTTGTTGTTCTTCTTCTTCTTCTTCTTCTTCTTCTTCTTCTTCTTCTTCTTCTTCTTCTTCTTCTTCTTCTTCTTCTTCTTCTTCGTCTTCTTTGTTTCTTACCCACCCCCACCCCCCGAAGAAAACATGCTTGAAGTGTTTTGATATGGTTTACAACTATGCTGTAACTGCTATTCGGCCCAGCACATATGATTTCTCGAGACCCTTAGTTTGTCGCCCTTTCTTCTCCTTTCTAACTTCCACCAACTTCCACCATCTTTCAAAAATTATTCTACTTAGTGTTTTTTCAGGAGCTGACAGCAACATAATTCCTGTAAGGTTTCCACACTCCTGTAGATGCACCTTTTTTGGGCAGTTTCACAAGATATCCTTCTCTCCAGTCTGCTGGTATTTCTTCGGTCTCCCAGACTTTACTAAATAATCTATGTAGCATTTGTTGGCCCGAATGGCTTCTGCTAGGATACCATCGCCGTTTACGACGTGCCTAATAAGAGAAAAGGGGCAGTTCTTCAAAATATCGAACTTGTGCATCAGGTTTGCTCTTTGCTTACACTAAAAAGATCACGGGTCTAGTCTGTGGGCGTTGCGGTGAAAACCAATATTCTTGTATCATCAGAGTACCCTCGCTCCACCACAGCCTTCATAGCGACCCTTGGCCTTCTAAATCCGAGAAACACGGGCTGGCAGAATGAACAGAAGGTATTACAGAGCTGTCCGTTACACATAAATTGTCTGTTAAACTTGCAGTGGTGACGCCCATACATTTATTTGAGGCATGATTGCTTGTTTCAGATTAGTATTCTGTTTTTTTTTCTGCACAGTGGAGTCGCTACGGTTTAGCGTCTAGACGCTCGCCTGCGTATCGGAAGGTCGTGGGTTCGGGTCCTGAGAGAGCCCGACTTTTCCCCCCACAAATGATCTTGGCTCCCAGTGTCACCCAGCTTTGAGTTGGTACCAGGTACAGTCTTGTAAAATAAAGGCGGCCGGCGTGTTGCTGACCACATCAACAACGAACTGCCGATTG